CTTATATACGTACATTTAAGCTTAAGCATACAAGTTTTACTAACACAAGTATTGTTATAAAAATAAAATATATATTTTAGTTCAATCTAAAAAAATAACATATAATTTAGATAATTAAATAATTACTAATTGAAGATAAGAAGACAATTTCAATATAGATAAAGATCCTTACCTATTAGTTGAATACCAAATAAATGTATTTAGAATACTGGTAGCAACAAAATATAAACAATATATTATATATATTGCACTGTAGAACACCCTATATATTTATATAGGCATATTTTCCCTGGCTTTGATCGATTATTTTGTAGCTTCTGCACATGATGATATTGATGTTTGATGATATTTTCTGAAACAATATAGTAAAATAGATATAGATCATATCATAGATAAATACAATTTATCATAGATAAATACTTTTCTAATCGATCTCAGTAATTTTGAGGTTATAAATTATTAACCCTAGATATATGATTTTCTATTAATGAATATAACATTTTTAGTATATAGATTGCTATAACTAAACATAAATATTGTCAAAAAGTACTTACCTCTTTTTCTTTCTTTTAGAACAAGAAATGTGAGATCATACGAGATCATACGACACGTGGCAATAATGAATGATGGACTAGCGCAGACGCAGCGATGCCGGCGCCAGCTAACACAAGCGTGAACGTGCACATGTGCTGCGCAGAGCATACGATACAATTTAAATCAATTTAAAAAAAAGAATATTGCAAAAAAACTATTTTATTATAATATTTTATTATTAAAATGTATATTATATATTTTATATTAAATTATATATAAAATTTGGATTGTGCAATGTTTCTGAAATATTAATGTCATATTGCTACAAACGTGCTGGTATTTTGTGGATCTATATCTCTGCAATGTCTTTGTAATGTTGAATTGCCATTTGCAATATTGCAACATTGCTGCAATGTGATTGCAATGATCTGTGCTGTATGGGTAAGGCTGTCAAGGAAACATTGGAAGCACTTCGCTGGGAAGTGCTACCCCATGCGGCTTATTCACCAAACTGTGCCTCTTCCGACTACCACTTGTTTCGGTCGATGGCACACGCACTTGCTGAGGAACACTTCAACTCTTATGAAAGCGTCGAAAAATGGGTCTTTGACTGGATAGCTTCTAAAGATGAGTCGCCGTGGGATCCGCTTATTGCCAGGAAGTTGAGAAAAAGTCACATCTAACGATGGCCAATACTTTAATTAATGTATTTTTTCATTTGTTTCTTAAATAAAGACTTAATTTTTCCAAAAAAAAACCGGGTTTCAAGTTATAGACCTAATACCATCGAAATGATAGCGCTTTCGCGTCGGAGTTTGGCTGCCACTCCAGCATCCTCTTAAAATGTATATAATTTTTGTGATAACATATATACATATATATAATATAAAAAGTATGATATAATTTATAACAAATACATGCGTCATACATATATATTATTTACATTTAACTTTATACATTTATTATTCATGATACATGTTTCTGCGGTTAAATTATTAATAATTATCGCCTCGTTAATGATATTTACAAGCGAATAAAAAATGTGAGACAATTATTTCTACGTTAAAAGCGACTACTTTCTTATTCTTATGATGTATTGACTTAATACCACAGTGATGGACATTGAATATATTTCTTCAATGCTTCCAAAAATTATTTATTTTAAATAATTTGACTCGAAACGAGTTTGAGAAATTATTCGCTCATTTAACCGACACCAGTAACGGTTAAATTTCGCGGCATACGGTTTGTCAATAACCCACGGCGCATCGCCAACGTCGCGATGACGCACGAAGTATCGGAGGTTATGCCGCGCATGGTCGCGCAGACGACTCCTGTTTATATTATCGTTCTATGCCCTTCAAATGACACTACTTCGTTAGTAGCCGCAGTGATCGGAACTGGTTTCTATCGTGGTAAGTATTGTTCACTTTAATATGTAACTTGTCGTTTATTCCGATTATCATTGAATAAATTGCCATCGCGATTCATTCATTCATCTGTTTTACGAAAATTATTCGTACTATCAAACGTATAGTATAAATAGCGTCTTCCGTTTCGCCGCATACGCCTCACCGGCCATTCTTGTGACGTCGATCGGACGAGTGTTTCATCACGATAGCGCGAGGCAATTAGTCCCCTGTGTTTGCGTAGAAGAATTCAGTGAAATGCTGTGCCGATCAGCTCGGATTTCGTATATCTTTTTATTAAATGCAGGTCATTTCATATAAAAATAAAAATATCTTCCTTGCCGCGAGCAACATTTACCCGCACATCAAAATGTCGATAGAGTCCCTTGATGCTCTTCAAGGACATCGAAGAATTTAGACATATCCCCTTTAACCTTACGCGACCTCCAAGATTGCTCGTTCAATCCGACGTAACGACGTGCCGAACCATGTGCCAAGATGTTTGCAGCTGGTTTTAAAGATAAAATTTAAGATTAAGGCTGCGTTCCGAAATTCACTGCCAGTACTGAAAATCTGCAGTTTACGTTACGTATACGTGTCTCTTGATTGTAGATTTTCAATACTGGCAGTAAATTTCGGAACGCAGCCTAAATAACATTGAACAATTTGTCACATTCAAAATTACGTAAGCGTTTATGAATCTCTGGTAAATCTGTTACATTTTTAACTGTATTTTTGACAAATAAATATCGAGAAAAAAAATTTTTTTAATTGTCTAGAAGACCGGCACTACTAGCTTTTGTCACAGATACAATAAATATTGTGAAACGCTTCGTACAATTTAATTTATTTTATAAAACAAAATAGATAATCGATTCGATGTCATGAGGCACATAATTAATAATTTTCGGTGCAGTGCGATATAGAGAATAGCATCGAAGATAACAATTCCAATTTATGCAATATTTATCAATATCTTCGAAATGCAAAGCAATCGATATAACGATATAATATCGTCCGTTCGACGTCCGAGAATAGCGAAGAAATATGGCATGAATCGCGATCGCATGCCTATTCTATTTTAACCTAATATCCATTAACGAAACTCATTGCAATGAAACTCATTCTCTCGTGCCTGTTTCACATGACCGCGCCGGTTTCATCAATCGCAATCGCGCAGAAAATGCATGGCCGTTATGCGGCATCTTGTAATATTCTCACTCGCCGATTTTCTAGCTGCAATCAAGAAGACAACAATATGAGCAAAATCGGAATTAACGGATTTGGCCGTATCGGCCGTTTGGTGCTGAGAGCTTCTCTGGAACGCGGTGGTCAGGTACGTTGCAAAGCTGCAGACTACGAATCTAATCCGCAATTTTTCTATTAATCTGATATTTTCATCAGGTTGTAGCCATCAATGACCCCTTCATTGGTCTCGACTACATGGTCTACATGTTCAAGTATGACTCCACCCATGGTAAGTACAAGGGAGAAGTTAAGGCTGAAGGCGGCTGTCTCGTTGTCAACGGAAACAAGATTGCTGTCTTCAGCGAGCGTGAACCGAAGGCGATTCCATGGGCAAAAGCCGGTGCCGAATATGTTGTCGAGTCAACAGGCGTGTTCACCACCATCGATAAAGCCTCTGTACGTAAAATCAAAATCAAACTTGAATCAAATTTATAAAACTTTTTTTTAATAAATTTATTTTAGAGTGAAGATTGACATTGTATTTGTAGGCTCACTTAGAAGGCGGTGCGAAGAAAGTCATTATCTCCGCTCCGTCGGCTGACGCACCGATGTTCGTCGTCGGTGTGAACTTGGACGCTTACGATCCGAGCCACAAAGTAGTCTCCAACGCTTCCTGCACCACCAACTGCTTGGCGCCTCTTGCCAAGGTGATCCACGACAACTTCGAGATTGTTGAAGGTCTTATGACGACCGTTCACGCGATTACGGCCACTCAGAAGACCGTAGACGGTCCGTCTGGCAAAGTAAGTATGATGTACAGCTATTTAGCAAAACAAGTTAAAGATTATTATATTATATAATCGCCATTGTTATATTATAATATTATTTATTATATTATTCGATAACAGCTGTGGCGTGATGGTCGTGGCGCGGCACAGAACATTATTCCTGCCGCAACGGGCGCTGCTAAAGCAGTCGGCAAGGTTATTCCGGCTCTCAATGGAAAACTTACTGGTATGGCTTTCCGTGTACCCGTGCCTAATGTATCCGTAGTCGACTTAACAGTTCGACTTGCCAAACCAGCCACTTATGATGATATCAAAGCTAAAGTAAAGGAGGCGTCTGAGGGCCCGCTGAAGGGAATTTTAGGCTACACCGAAGACGATGTAGTCTCGTCTGACTTTATCGGAGACAACCATTCGAGCATCTTTGATGCCAAGGCTGGCATACCTCTTAATGACAAGTTCGTGAAACTGATCTCGTGGTACGACAACGAGTTCGGCTATTCTAGCCGAGTTATCGATTTAATCAAGTACATGCAGACCAAGGACTAAACAGTCTTCAAAAGTCGATTATTCCCCCGATTATTCCTCCTAGTTCCGGTCTCGCCGTACAGCGAAGCAGTCGCTGCATGCGCATATCACTGTAAAGATTATTCCGTATTAATCAGCGTCATTACTAACGTGTAACAAGGATATACACGGAGTTGAGTAAAAAAGTAGCGTACATTTTCTCTCGCACAGTTGATAGAATCGTAGATGATGCGGTATATTTTTGTCGCTGTTTGAAATATAAAAGGAAACAAGCTCTAGTGTTCATCATATTTGAAGATATATATCTGGCTACTCTGTTGCGATTTAATCCAACGTTGAACCATTGTGAAGTATAAATGAGAATTATAGCTCAAACGTTACAAAACAGAACTTATGTAATCGCTAAGATTATGTTGCACATAATTGAAATAAAATTAGAGAGAAATGTATGACAATAGATTTACGTACAAATTTTGCTGTACTAAATTATTAAACGCAATTTTACTCATCGAAATCAACAATTACAGATCTTTTATCGCAAGTATGGAATTTTACTTGCATCTTGTCCTGATACAGAGTTATGTGCATACATTCATCCTTCGTCATTTGTTCATTCATATTCGAGAGATATGTCATAAGTATTTGTGATTTTCTTCTGTATGATTAACATTATTTTTCATTCACATAATGACGTCAATAAAAGTTGTTATGAAACTAAAGCAGTTCTTTTTATTCGTATTTGACAGATAAATCTGTATTCTACATTGATACACCTTTTTTTACAGGATCGCAAATAATAAGTTGGAGATATTGTTCTGATATAAGCATTAACTTTATATATCATTTTTATACAATATCTATACAATTACAAAAAATCTTTTGTGTATGACTCGTTGATTTTCAAGCTTTAACTTCTAAATAAGTCCGTGATATTTGACAAGACGATACACTGCTGATCATCGTTCATGACAGCAATATAAACTTTAAAATTTCATATTATATGGCACAGAGTTATTATTTTAGTAAGAGCGGTCACTTGGCAAATTCATTTGCTCTATTTATAGTAAAAAGAAGTAAAAATATTTAAGAGCACGAGACGAAGGTCTTACATTAATCACGGATCAATCTATATTTATTTGATTGGATAGAAATGGCGATTTTCATAGAGCGTTGAGACTAATATAGAACTAAACCACAAAAACTAAATCTAGAGTAAAAAAAATCAATTCAAGCAACTTTTGCTACATATTCAATATGTAAAGTAATCATGCAGTCACCTCTGCATCGATAAAAATATCGATATAAATAATCAGAAAGTAAGCAGATTATTTTATTGATTTGGTTTTGTTGCTGTGGCCTTGATAAGTCTATATTCCTCTCACGCTTTGAGTAATTTGCACCAACTATAGCATCTATTTTTTTTCAAACCTATACTAATGGGAATTAGTATTATCATTTCAAAGAATCGGTACACCAAAATCGACGTATTCAACATGAATTGATTCTGAGCATCATACACATCTATATAAATTTATTTCCGATATTCTGTTCCTGCAGATTCCACATTTTTCGTATATCTTTCTTCAACATTTAATAGGTATTTTGTAGGTACATTTGTTATCACGAAGTAAAATATTTAACTTCATAACAATTCTGTTTTTCTGTTTCTCAGTTGGCGTCATTCTTTTTTTTTTATGAAAGTTTCATATAATTATATGAAAATACAATTCGATTTTGTTGTAAACAATAAATATCTATCATTCGCCTTTGCAATACACAGCTAATTCGAAGTTTATGACGGACATTATGATTCCGCTCTTGGTGAACATACACTCTCAAGAGATTCATTAATATATGAAACATCCTACATAATTTTTACACAGTTAATTTCTACGCAGAAAAATAAAAATCCGAAATTTCAAGTATCGGCGCTGAAATCGAATAATAAAAACAGATGCACTTGTATGGCGCACTTAGACGGATATGTATAAATTCACAACAATGAAAAAGGAAGTTATTATGCAAAGCGTAACACAAGTCAGTAAATCACAAGGGAATTCAGTCACGTAAGCTTAGATGAATCTCTTACACTTTTCTTGCATATAAACGTGAACGATAGCTTATCAACTTGATAAAAGCAAGTTTGCAAATCAGTAAGCAAGAAAAGAAAGCAAACGAACCAATGCTAGATAGAAATGCGTTGAATTACAATATATATCTTGAAAATTATGAAAAGAAATATTTCCAAACATGTCCATCCGTGATCGAGTTATTAATAATATACATATACATATGTAAAGATTAAATTAATTCGATTGTTTGATTGGCTCGTTTGCTCTTTTTCTTTCTTGTTGATTTGATAAATTTACAAATACTTGTAAATCATACATCATCAATACAGAGATCATAATCAGATTTGTACACGATTTATAATTTTCTTATTAGACATCTTTCCGCTTTCATTCTTAAATATCTATATGTAATATTTTCACAAATTTTATCCCCTGCCGCATCCATCTGCTTACACTGATTTTATTATGAATATGAGTGAATACTTCGTTGGGAAAAGAGAAATTCTAGACTAGCATACTGTATTAAATACATGTGTTTGCAATGAGTAGAGGATACATAATAATACCTCGTAGTTTCGGATCGAATGAATGATAGCGAATAATAATCACATCAGGTCAAGAGCAAGAGTTTTGCGCGTAGATTTATACGCTCTTGAAGCGCGCTAGCTAGTTCTCGTGTTAGTTCTTCGCAGACTAATCGTAGTTCTGCATTCTTCTCCCTTAATTCTTGTAACGTCAATTGTTTTCCATCCTCCGATTCGTCCTTATTATCCTCTTCACCGCCGTCTCGTTCTATTAAGAAACGCCAAATATAATTAAAATATAATCGAAACGAATTTGAAGTTGCCTAAAATAAGCTTTATGAAAATAGAAATTTATTTTTAAAAGCATACACATGTCGGAAAACGTATTTCCTTCAAAACAAATATAATACTATAATACTAAATATTATCAACTTGCGGGAAAAGATATAATCAGATGATTTCTTACTCGGACTGGGTTTCCTATAAATTTGGAATGCTCCACAAACTCCGGTAAATTGTTGGGACTGCGGCACCGTATTTTCTATAGATAGTATCGTATTCTCAGGCAGTTCACTCTTGGGGGAAAAGTGAGAGAAATCAGCGACAAAACCTTGACTTTCGCTTAATGTTCTTTGTCCCTCACCTTCGCTTCTTTGGCCGACTAATTTGCGAGGTGAAGTCTGTAACAGAAAATATCATCATTATAATTCTTGCCTTAGAAAGCTTTAGTATAAAGTTACAATTTGTTTGAAAAAAATAATGTTAATTTAAAAGACGTAGAGATCGATAAAACTTTTCTAAAAATGTAAGATTTTCATAACAAAAAAACTTACAATTCCTGGCGAAATTCTAGGTGGTACTAACGGCGGTGCCCCAAGAAAGCTTTGACCATTTTTCCCTACAAGAATGTTGCAAGTTGAAGCGTGAGACATCGATAAGCGCAGAATTGTGTTGTAGAGTATCGATAGTGATATATACCTAATTTATTAAGATCAAGACTAGAACTGCGCGCGTGTGTTCTGTACGGTCTGGGCGGTGGTGGAGGTGGCGGTTCCTTCTTTGGAGTGACGATGACGGCGTCTTCAGGAGCTGCAGTAGGTTTCTTAGCAAGTGGTCGTTGCGCTAACGATGCTGCAGAATGTTGTAGATCGTCATCACCCAAAGTTGTGCAACTGCTGCTGCTGCCGTTCGCGCCGGAAGCGAGAATTGCCGCTTCGGGCGTTAAGCGCAACGGCACCGGATGCAAAATCTTCGGGTCGCGCTCAACGGCTGACTTTTGGAAATCGAAATTCACTAGCTGCAATCCTGGACTGGTGACAGAACTGCTCGTTCCAGTTGGCGAATCCACGAACTTTGTCCATTCCTTATTCTTTTCGTTCGCCGAATTCGGCGGCGATTTTTGAGCGGTTGTCACCGGCGGAATTTGCGGCGCGGCAGTTGTCGTTTGCATGACTAATGGAATCGACAAGGACGGAGGTAAGACGTCGGGTAGAGGCACATGATTCCTCCTCAACACAACGAGATGCATAGCCACGTAAAATTCTTGTAAACTGAGCGCTCCGTCCCTCGTGACATCTGCTAGCTGCCAAATACGTCGTAACTCGGAAACGGGAAGTCGTGATTTTTCGAAAAATGTTCTAGCCACAGGCCCCGACAAAAGGCCTTCCGGATCAGATTGCAGCTGTGCGAACTGCGCGGCATAATAGTCACGCTGCTCGTCACTGATAATCCACACTTCTTCCGGTGGAAAACCCGAACCATCGCCTTCCCCTTCGGCCTCGTCGCTACTGTGACGTTCCGAGCTCTCCTCTTCCGTGCCCAGCAGTTGTCTCTGCTCTTCGGAAACTAACAAACCTTGCCAGCCTCCCGAAACAGAATCCAAGATGGTCTCACCGCCCAATATACTGTCGTTTCTCTCTTGAGTCACACTGTTTGTCGGAGTCGGAGAGTCCGTGCTTCCACCAGTCTCGCGCGGAGATTCCGCTTCGCTTTCACTTTCGGTACTCTCCGGAGCATGATGTCTGCTCTTTGCCCCTCTAGTCAAGTCCGGACTTCTCCTGCCATCCTCTTCACCAGAGGCTGGCCATGTAAACGCCGGCAATTGAATAACATCCAGAGGTGCGGTTACCACGTCTCTGGTGACTTCTAGACCAGCCTGATGAACCGCTATGAGCTTCAGCACTGCGTAAAATTGCTTTTTGCGTAGATGTGTGCTGCTCTTAGTTCCCATGCAAATATCCAATATCTACAAATTGAAATAAACATTAGTCATCGATACATAACTATATATTTATACAATGCTCGAATGTTTACACAAGTGGATTCATCACATGCTTTAATAAGTTATTTATGCTTTCTTTTTTTTTTAATCTACAATCTGATGACTCATTCTAACCATAATGATATATATTCTGCGTTAACATATATCTGAAAAAATGTAAGAATTTTTATAATGCTGCAGATTGTTGCAAAAAGCAACAGCGCGAGATAATTCAAGACATTGCCGGCTGGCTGCATCACGAAGCAATTACTAGCGAACGGTGCCGCCTACATAAATGCTATCGCGGCACAGCATTGCCAGATGTCAACTTCAATTTCCGAACTTCGAATTTACCTTCATCGTGACGTCCCGCGGCACGTTGGCCGAGCGTAACAGCTCGGCGACTTTGATAACGGGCACGCTGTCCGCATTCTCGCAGCTAAATATGAATATATCGCTGTAGGAGAGCTGCTCGGCCGGGGTCAGCTGCAGACTCGCTATCGACTCCCAATCCATCTTGACGATCCGTACGTCCGGGTCTGAGAATGCCTTCGACCGTCCCGGCGTTACTCCGTTACGTCTCTTCTCGTCCGCCTTGCACTCTGCTCGCGATCACGACACGGTCTGCTTCACGGTGCGGCCGCGATCCGTGTGGTCACATCGTTGCGCACGTTGACACAAATTTCAAGTCCCACAGGAGCTCCACGAGAAACGCCGTTTACAAGCTACACCTCCGTGCGTGATTATCGGACAAGCGCTGCCTCCAGCTGGTTGGCTGGCACGCGAGGTTCGGCGAGGTTTGACATTCCTATTACTATTCCCCGAGCGGTGCGTGCGCGTCACAGTCGCTCGTCACGAGTCGACCTGTTGGCGGGAAACTCGAGAGAAACCCACAATGTTGCATACGAAGTGCTGAGACATTCAATCTATTTTTAGTTGCATCTTGCAACTTTTTATCTTGTTTTTTTCGCCTATCTGAGTACTGTCTCTTACTCGAGATATTTGACACTCGATACATAGAGAATTTGATATGAAAGGAACAAAGCTGTTATAAATAACAAAAAAAAAACAGAAGATATCTCATATTCTTTTTTAGTGTTCTATTCTTTACAAACGTATGAATGACTTATCATTCTTATTCGCGTATGTCTCAAACTTATTAGTTTTTTCAGTGTATTACACGAAAAACAATACTCACTTTCTAATTATTTATTTATTATTTCTGAAAAAGATTAATATTTTCAGAAAAGCGGAAGATAAAATGAAGAATCGATTTCAAATCGAGCACAATTTTTATAGATAAAATTTATATGTATATTTAATTTTTCAACATGATATATTTTATTTACACTAAGAATAAATAAACGAATCAAAGTATAATCGAACAACAATAATAGATTTTGATCAGTGTAATATATTTCATGATTCATATCACTTTGATCTAACGACACCTCAACAAGAGTACCGAAGTTAAAAGATCGAAATATTTCACTAGTAATTAGCCGTAACAATAAACGTGGAAATTACATTATCGCTGATGCTTCTATCTTCATTTTTTTTTCTATAAAAATAGTTTGAATGTCAGCCGATGCTCGTTCGCGTTTAATACAGTTTTTCTCGTAAAGGTATCGCTATGAGATTAGAATAGTTGCCAGTGCAAAATATACGTGCGCACTTTTCAAAATTAATGAACTCGTCTGGAATTCTATTGCTTTGCAAAATTCGAGATAGGGAAATTCAACGAAGAGTTTACTCAGTCATCGGACAGTAGTATCGAAAAAATAAAAAAAAAAACACCTACGATATTATTAATCGTACAAAATAGCTCGCGTGACTAGAAAAGATAATTACATACAGTCTTGTCGATGCAATAATGGTTTTGTTAGTAAAATACACAATGGATTGATCAGTTGATTTGGAGTTTTCATTTCGATGAAAAGCAATATGTTAGTGGATCGAAGAATTCTCCGCGATAGTCAACGAAGATGCGCCCTTCTTCGTGTTATCGCAACGTCCTCCAATCGATTTCTGTCCAAGTGTCTTAAATCGCAGATGCACAGGCGAATCTTCTCTAGAACTTCCGGTTATATTGTCCAGATCCCAATTGCCGAAATGTTCCTCGAATAAGTCTTCCAGCTTCTTTGAGAGGACTTCAATTTTCTTTATTCGCTCATCATCGTGCTGTGATAAAACAATTTTCTAATTGATATTTCAATTTAAACGACTAACATGACATATTTAAAAATACTGAGAGATTCGTCTTCCAAAATTAAACTTTGAAATAAAATATTTTGCAAAATTCAAAATGTTTGAATTTTAAGTAGGTGATTTTTTTACGCAACTCTATTTTAAACAATATTCTATTGTATCTACTAAAATCTATCGTATGATTTTCTGAACAAAAAGATGAATAGAATATAAAGAAAAAAGTTATTGATTATTACGAACCTGATGATATAATCTGGCATTGTGAAGGACGCGACGGAAATCTTTTACGGCGTGTTCGACTTTGTGATAAATCCGGTTCTTTAGCTTGTTCTCGATGATCTCGAGAAACATTGGACAATAATCCTCCACCTGCGAATCAAAGGAAGAAAATTTTCATCAAATAATATATCTAAAAATGTGTATGTCATTCTTGTTTGTGCTTGAAAACTAACTATTCCTGCGGATGAAAATTCACTGTCTTTTTCAGACGAAGGTAGACGCTTGAAGATCTTTGCTTCGTCCATTTGGCAGACAGTTTGATGAATCGTTTCTAGCTTGCTGAATGCCAAAGGGCTGAGAATCTGTTTTCTCCTGGAACTGTACCACACCGACCAGCCGCGATCGGCGGATTTACCGGCGCATTTAACCTCCGTGTGTTCCAAATCTCTTTTCCCGTGCGTCTTCAGTGCAGTTGACAGTTTCGGCGTTACATTGTTCGACTTGGCATCGCTGATTTTCGCGCACGATTCTTCCTGCAATTGAAGATCGTCCGCATTTTTCACCGCTTTCTTCTCGGCCGACCTCCGTGATTTATGTAAAAGCTGATAAGATTGTTCGGGATCCTTCTTCTGACATTTGCGGCCAGCAATTGGTACGGTCGATGAATTCGTAGCGCTTGATTTGTGCGACTCTTTCTTTTCCGAAACCGCATTGTTTGATTTCATGGATCTTCGTACCGTTTCAGAGTACGTAGCTCTTCCAATGTGACTTTCCAATTCTTTCGTTAACGCTTCGTCGTTTTTCGAAAAAGAACCAGAGATGTGCTCGCGAGAGAAGATTGCTGGATATTCGCTATCGATTATCGCCATAGGCGCTCTTGCGTCAGGATCCGCAATTGACGATTCGAGATGATTCGGTTTCGCGTCGGCGATATCCGAATTATTTGAGGATTCCGAACTTCGTCGATCTACGTCGTCCTCGCGTCGCTTCTGTTTACTCACGATACTCGCGTTATTGAGAGTTCTTATCAGCCAGGAATCCGTTTTCACGTTCGTCTTGATACTGAGAGCTGTTTGAACATGCTTTTTAGAAAAGGATTGTTTTGCTTATTACTAGGTACCATCTGTAAAAAAATCGCGATATATATTTAAATAATTTTGACAGTCCGAGCAATGAAATATATATATGTTTAAATCCTTGCGCGGAAATTTATTATTTCAGTGAAACTTCGCGCTTGATTTAAAATTTATACTTTATGAATAAAATTAATTATTACTTTAAAAATATTGCGCGTGATTTAACAATAAAATTATGCGTTAAAATTACCTTGTTATAATATTCACATTATTAAAAAATATAAAAATAAAAAATATATGTAAGTATATTATAATTTTCTGATATATTTTCTAGCAAATTCGTGAGTCAATCACTGATATCTTTACCATTCTCATCCTCACGCAATTGAGATACAGATATGACACTCGTGTTAGGCGACAATTTGCAAGTTGACTCCGAGTCATCTTCCGAGGCTTCGTAGGACGAGACACGATCGGCGTCGTCGCGCTTTATCGGCTTCGGATCGATCTGCTCTGACGTCGTCGGTAATATTTCAACATTCTCTTCGCTCTTATTATCTTTTCCAATACTGTCGTTGCAATCGATCTTCTTGGACGCGTTGCCACAATCCTTTACGTTAAGTGCTTCAAGAAGTATCTCGGCCGAGGCGCACGCTGCCTTCCAAGTGACATCCTGATAAGCAATCTGCGACAGAGATTCCGCGCGCTTCAGAATTCTCGGCGAATTCTCAAGATTAAATAAAGGCGCCGGCAATTGCGAAGCCGGCGGAAACGAAGTCTTTATCAGCGTAGCGTTATTGATATTAGTGATCGATGCGCTCGCATGTGGCAGAGGCGTCGACGATGCAGGCATCGATACGCTCTTCCCTTTATTGTGATGATTGCTCGCGTGCGCGTTGCGAGACGTCGCGTTACCGTCCGATCGGCGATTCGGCCGTCTCTGGTGCCGCTTCTTCGGCACGTTGTAGCTTCCCGGTTTCATGTACACCCGCACGTCCTCGGAGCTGTCGTACTCTTCCGGCGCTTGTTGCACTTGGAAACGATTGCTGGCGAAGTTGCCGGCGGCCCAAGGTGTGCTTTGAATGTTCGGTAAATTCTGCAGCGCCTGAAACTGTCGATTTGCGTCGATCTGCGGCTGCTTAGGCGTCGAGTGTTTCGACATCTCTTGCTGAGCGAACAATCGCGGCGCTGAACTCTCATTCATTCTCGACTCCTCGAAAGTCTGCACAGTCATTGGAATCTGCGCGTTTCGCATGCTGGCGAACCAGGCCGACAGGTTGGCCGCCATCTCCTCGGATTCCTTGTCAAATGTCCTAGGCTCGATCTGACTTAATAAGGTCACCTTGTTTCTTGGAACAGCCGGCAGTTCTATCTGATCCGTCTGCGATCTGCCGACGTAAACCGGATTGACGTTTGCGCTTTTAGCTCCGTAAATTTGTTCGCAATTTCGGCCGCTTCTCGTATTGATATCGGCAATAGGATAAGAACTTGAAGACGGATAGCCTCCGTATGTTAAAATTCCCGGAGCGGACGCGGGATGCGAGGAGCTCGAGTGACCAGAAACTGGAAACGCGAAGGACAAACAATTCTGCGCATAGAGTCCGCTGTAATTTATGGCGTTGTTTATCGCCGGATTATGCAGTCTGCATTCCGTATTGTCGTGCGACACTGGAAATTTATTTTCCAACAAACAATCATGTCTTCTATCTTTCGCATCCACGTTGCTTTCCATCACCTTGCTTCTCAGCTGAAAGAATTCGGCGTTCAACGATTTTTGAGTGGAATCAAACTTTCTGCACGACAATGCGTCTTTCGTACGGAGCTTACTGCCGACATCGGTGTGGCACGTGGAAACGTTAGGCACGGACTTCGCGGTGTTGATCGCGGACGACAGATTTTCGGTGATCGTCCATCTGCTTCGTAATTTACTTTCCTTTTGATTCGCCGCTTGCTGCTCTTGCTGAGAATTGTATGAAACATTACGCGGGTTGCTTGTCGACAAAGGCGCGGATGTTGAGTTGTGTGAATTTTCCTGCGGGGACAATTTTCCAGTCGCGTTTCGCTGAGAGAAAGAGCTCGAAGGCAGCTGAGTAAAAAGATCATAGTTTGTGTAAAGCGACACGTCGCCCGGAAATGAGGACGATCCGCAGGTTGCGTTGCGCCTCTGATTCGTCGCTTCGTTGTTTTCTCCGAATTTCTGAAACGTTCGCACTATTTGCCGCAGCAGCTCGTACGTATTTTCTTCCCAGGTATGAAAGCACGTGATTAATTCGGGATCCAGTCTGTCTAGCAAATTAGAAAGATGTTGCTTGTTCAGGTAATTGTCGAGGCTCAGCCAACCGTTGCTAATTCGCAATAGAGCGTTAATGAGATCGCTGGTGAAAACTCGGTCTCCCGCAAACACCGGGATGCAAGTTGTAGACTTTGTGATTGCCATTCTCGTAGCGGCTGACAGACACGTTAACCAGCTTCGTCTGGAGTCCAGTTGCGAAGCGTCGGAAGCGAGAACGGTCTCAGCCTCCGTGCAACCCCAGTAAGCTGTTTTCCGGATCAGCTCCGGATATTGCGATCTGTCGACGCATGAACTGTCCGTTTGGACGCCTATCGACGTTCCGTTTTCGTACTCGGAGCAAAAATCAGTAAACCAACTCGTCTTGTTAGACACGTTGTCGCCCGCGCCGCTAAACAACGGCGCAGAATCAGCTTTGTTACCGGCTTTCGACTCCTCCTTGCCCAAATCGTTCGAGGACGTAGTATTGCACAGAGCCGAGACCATTTTTTCAGCTTCAATGGTGAAATCGAAGCTGGTCGACGATTCGTCGGAATAATGTTCCTCCTCGGTCTTCGTAGCGACGGGAATAGGCTTCTGCAAAGCACAATCGGCAGACTCGGGATTTTTGCTATTACTCGCGACTTCTTGCACCTCGTACGAACGTTTGGAGGCTAATTCGATCTGAGACGGCCAGCCGTTCTCGCTGCGACCGGTAGGAGCCACTCGAGGCTCGCGAGAATTCGATATCTTGCTCGCGTTATGCTTGAACGGCGGAAATTCCAACGTGGACAACAGCGAAGGCTTGTCTGCGCGCGACGGAGCGAGCACGAGACCGACGGGCGGATTCGAGAAGAGCTGAGAGGACTGCACCGACGAAGGGAACTGATTGTTGCCGAAGGCGGCTAGGCCGGTGTAAGGACTGAGATTGGGAAGCGGGAAGGACGAGTTGGCGTTGACGGCTTGTAGACTGCAGGTGTTCGTGGCCGAGATATTATAGTAGGAAGCCTGCATCGGACGTTGCTGCTGCTGCTGAGCGTTTTGTCGATCGTGAATGAGGCAGAAGGTCTGCACATCCGGCGGCTTGAAGCCGAAGGGCTGCTGTAACAAATGCGTCACTCCGGAATTGTTGCTGCAGTGCTCACTGGATAACGGTCCAGCGTGAGCAAAAGTCGAAGAGGCCACCAGGAAAGACGCGGTTGACGGAGGAATCGATGCGATGCTAGAAGACGGTTGATCGTAAAGCACCACGGGTTTCGGGTTGTATGAGAGTTGCTGTTGCTGTTGCTGCTGTTGGTAGTGTTGTTGGCCGCGCGACGGCTTGTTCTTCGAGTGCCATCGATTATTCTTACCTATTTCGTGTAGAACATCAGTTGTTATTGGTCACGCAATTAGATTTTACGACGGAACGTTTGTGAATTCGGTATTATTAATATTTGCAGTTTTCTGTATTGCTTGTAAAAAAAATCGACGCACTAGAATTATTTTATTATCGGGATACGTCGATTTTTCTTAAACAGTGTAAAAACTGTTTTGCGAAACAAAATGAATTAGAATAAAAGATAGGAGAAAACTGATTCGTAAAATTGGCATTAGATGATATTAATTGAGAAGGTAATTTATTTTTTTAAACCTTGAAGATGTAAAGGGACGGAATTCGATGAAACAGCGTGGGGTTGAACGTTCGGATAAACGCACGAGGGATAAAGTGCTGTTGCACATGGCTGAAGAGTCACCATTGAGTTACTGACGGGAGCATACAGAATTTGTTGTTGTTGCTGATGATAAACGGGTGATGTTGTTGGGATTGTAATTGGGGATGATCGGGGATGATGTACAGGCGATCGATTTGATCGTCCTGCCGCTTGGCGCATGATCCGCTTAATCCTTGGATCAAAACTTAATCCTCCGCCGTCTCCGAGTCGATGTTAGCAGCTTCTACCAGACGACAAAACCTGTCATTGTCTTTTTATCAATATCGTGAATTTTACTCCCTAAAATTTTTAATATCCTCGCGAATCATTCGATTTCAAATGCAATTGGTTACGTCTTTTCGGTTTACACGTCAAATTTTTTCGCTAGTAAATGCGCGTTGATATTTCATTCTATGGTATTTTATTTTTTTGTGAAATAATTATTTACTTGATTAAGGCCATAACGCCGCTATAATAATATATATTGCAACCAAAATGCATGACATTAAATGTAATGAAGTTAAAGTAACGTTATTTTAAAAAATCCTTATTTGAACTTATAGTGATAGTCGTTTATCTAATCGGAATGAATGTAGCAGCTATATCAGCTATTAATTGAAACTTTTCTAACTTCCTATTGAGAAAAATTTTATGCATTCTGAGAAATCATTATTTTTACATATCGCAAAATTCTACATTCATGAATGACGTCATTCTTAGCTATGATAGTAATTTCTGAATGATATCACCTTACGGTAATATCAATTCTCGGTAAGACAGTATGCAAAAACATATTTAATACTGCTTTATATCGTAAAAACAATATTTGTCATTTAAAATGAAATTATTATGTAAAATTATAAAAAATCTTACAATTGCAGTTCATATTTTGATATTTGAAATTCTATAAAGAAGATTTGTAGAACGTATTGTAGAGAAGTACAAATTAATGCTAACAGATGACTCTCTTAGGCAAATTTTCATGCTAAAAAATTACTGAAAGTTATAAATATATCCAATAGTAAATAACAGATACTATTATTACACAAGAATTATAAAGAAAAAACAATTTTAAAATTTATATTATTTTAGTTTTAAAAAATATCTTAAACATAGATAAGATAACAAATTGTTTTATTAATAAAGTATACAGAGATAAATTGTTTCTTAGTTTATAAATTAATTTTTTTTGCCACACATTTTTAATCATCTTTTTCCATTGGTTCTTCCGTAAATTCCACTGTAAATACTGCTTTGCCGTATGTTCGTCTCTCTAGAATAAATGAAACAAAATTATTTAATCTCATATAATATGTGGATATTTTTTATTAGAATGACATACCTGCTTTTAAAAGAAGAAGTTGACATTGGTTTAATATAGCTGCTTTTGATTTATCTTCACTCAAACCTAATATAGATCCACTGTGTATTGCAATATTATTTGAATAATTATGGATAATATAGATTATATTTTAAAAAGTTTTTTGCAATAGTTTCTTTACATTTTTTTATTAATATGATTATCAATATAAATATTAAATATTACTGAGCTCAAAGGATACAGATTTATTATATCATAAGGATTTCTGATTAAATTGATATTATTTGCACCACTGGATACGATCACATTCTGCAATATTATGCAATATTATATATTAATATAATTAATACAGTTATTTTATATTAAAAACATAATACATGTGTCTCTCTGTTGTTCACTTACCATGCTTTTGCGATACATATAAAATTGATGAGCTAAATGAATAGTTGCTATGCGTGTTTTTTGGTTCAAAAGCATATTTGCGTACTGTACTTCGAAACATAAACCTCTTCCTACTGCCAGCCGATATAACTTCCTATTTAATTTTACACCAGAAGTCAGTGGCTTTATTGTAATAAGATCTGTATTTAGTTGGGAACAAGCAAACTGTAGATAAAAAAGATACAATAAAATTAAAAAGTGAAAACAAGATTAAAATTACAATTGATTAAAAAATAGATGTACGAACCTCTAACATATCTTGCCGAGTTGGAATAATAGCATATAAATTATATTTCTTCATAGTTGCACATTGTCCCTGTAAAAATAAAAAAGTTTCAATATAAATACTATAATTCTAATGTAGCTAAACCTTTTATTTTAAAAATTATGTCAAATTTTGCTAGTTTTTAATAAATATAATGCAATATCAAATGTTTTTTTTAAATAAATAGATCACATACAAGTTTATTAATCTAAAAACATACCAATATATGTGTTTTTGTTGAGTCTGAACAAATAAATGTTAGCCTGTTAAGTATACATAGTTTTCCTCCAAATTTCTCACTAAATTTGCTTACATCAATTGGTTCTGGTATCACATTTGGTACTGTTTTACTCTCTTCACCTTTTTTCTTCTTTTTTTTATCATTATCAAAAATACTTTCATCTATAGTTTGATTTAATGCCACAGTCCTGTAACCCACTAATCCAAATAAATTTATAAATTGCCAAAAGCTGGTTAATTAATTCTATCTTGTATTACACAACTAACTTACTTTGATATGATCTTAATAATATATCGTTTAGACAATTCATATTTTCGCTTGATACATTTATACACAAATCAAAAAATCCATTACATGGTTCAAAATCCATTTTTGCACAATTTATAATTTTTTAAGTAATTCCTCAATATAGGCTTATATTGCACAAATGTATGGAATACAGTTTGCGTGTAATATGAAAAATGCCAAAGGCGTGATTTTACATCAAAACACGGAAATGTACAAGCGTCATTCATAAAAGAATTCTATGAATGAGCGTCACTCATGTACACAAAGCTACACGTGCTCTGTACTTTGGTTAATTGCTGTCACATTCCAATGTTCTTCGTAATAATACAATCCACACAATGTCCATACAAATAATTTCTTCAACGCTTATTCATAAAAACATGAAAAATAAAGAAGCTAAGTGCAATAACTTGTTATCGTTACGAGACTACACGACTCGTTGACACAATTGGCGGAACATATGACTTCCTCCATGTTACGGAGTAGTAAAGCACATGCGCTACAAAAACGGTGCGCTGAAAACGCGCGTATTTTAAAGCTTCCATAATACTAAAATATTGTTTTTTATATTTATAAACAGTTTTTTTTAATTTACATATGAAATAAAATTTTAAAAAATTGGTAAAAATTAATTATTAAATTCAAAGTCAAGTATAATTTTTATTATTATATATAATATATATTAAAATTTTATTTTTGATTATAAAATAGCATGACACAGCTGATGTGATGATTCATCATTATGAATAATGGATTTAATGAAACTATTTTTTATTCTTAAGACATTGAAAGATAAGGTCAAGTATTATCAACCGTAACATATCGAAGATAAATCTACGCTTTGTTCTCCCGAAATACAGACCTCTCTCGCCAGCCTATCTATTCAATCGAAGGATGAGTTGTATGGATGGGAATAACTTTGCGTACTTGGACTCATTTTGGGAACTATATAAAGACCAAGTTCAATTTTTGATTCGACATAATCTTCAACGACTCTCATAGCTCAACATTATAAGTCTGATTATGGTGTTCAAATTAGGACTTATTTTTACGCTCATTCTTGCAAATTGCATAGTACGTATTTAATTTTTAATGAATTAAAAAAGCAAATTAATTAAATTTTATCTGCTTACTATTTTTATAATTTTACAACTTAACGTTTTACATTTTTGTTTAAAAAGACATACGATTAAAATTGATTTAAAGAATCTGTTTTTAAAATTTACTCTGCATATAGGAACATTATTAAGTATTAATATTCAGGCACACGAGGGATATCCGCGTGTACGTCCTTACAAACAGCTGTTCTACGAAAGGTACAGCTATCAGAATCCGCGCTATCAATGGCAGGGCAACGGAATTCCCGGCGTAGCTGGGAAAGATTATCCACTGTTTCGTAAAGTGCCGCAGACGCGATTCGATTGCGATCGACAACAACATCCGGGCTATTATGCCGACCCTGAAGCCGACTGTCAAGCGTTTCATGTCTGTCAACGCGGCGGTCGTAAGGACTCGTTTCTTTGTCCAAATGGTACGTTATTCAATCAGGAGAGACTGGTTTGCGCGTGGTGGAACACCGTGGATTGCCCTCGCGCGCAAAGTTTCTACTCCATTAACGAGGCGGTTGCAAAAGCAATGGAGGAAGCTGATAGGTGAGCACGCATTATGTAACGAATTGTTCAAAATACGTACCTACTGTGCGCATTCGCATGCCGGATTACATAATCGGACGTCTCTTCTTATCTCGCGCGGATTAAATACAAAAAAATGTTACGGTATTTCTCTTGGCGTTCATGCTGAAATATTTCATAATAAAATAAGACGATAAAGTTACGCAGCTTGTTTCTCATAATAAGCATGCCACTTTCATTCGCATAGGAAAGCAATCAAAGTCTAACTCCCCCGCTTTCAGTCCTCCCGCTTTCCTTCTCCAGCCGCGATTAAAGGATGGTAACTGAAAACTTAACGGATATATAACTTCAGTATGCAAATATGCTATTAGTTACATTTACGCACATGCATTAATAATTTTCTTTATGATAAAGACGCATCAAACTAGCTGCGGAAGGAAAGCTCTCCCGAGGCTACCAGCGTGAATCTAACGTTGAGAGTGGCTCTGGGAATAAGTATAATCAGCTGAGCGAACAGCGAAGATGGAATAAAAACAACATTCCGATTCGTCGTAATCAAAACTTGGATTTCACTGAAGAGCTTCCTTATGAATCGCCTGAGACATCCAGCGCGCCTTGGTTATGACATATCAGAATTTTCCGCTAAACGTTTGCCAGGCGCGAACACACGTTACGGCAATTTCTATTCATCGAAATGGAATCACAAGATCATCGGCGCTGAATTTGGCAAACAAACGAGGAAGAACAACTGCGCGAAATCAAACAACGCTTATCTACCTATCTATTAATCTAACTATTGGAGCAATCGGACACTTCAATATGTCACGTACGATATTAAAATAAAATATACAAATATTGTGAATAAATTTTCAAGATCAATTATTTAATACACAATCTCGTCTTTATTTTTTTATACTGAGGAAACATTTTTTCAGTATATAATTAGTTTTATGATATATTTGAAATATACATAAAAATAAATTTTTTTATGTATTCAACGAAATCCAGAGAAAAATTGTAAAATCAAAGAGATAGACGAGAATAGTCTAAATAGTTCAAATAACGGAATAGCGCAACCATACAGAACTTCAAGAGGATTTTGCTTAAGGATTCTGCTTTCTTGAGGATTCCGTTGCCCCAGTTAACAGACGTAGAATCGTGCTTTACCAAGTCGTGCTCTTTCGTTTCATGTAACCAGTCATATATACTAAACATAATCATGTTTAAAAGTAACCGCGATTGTCTGGCGCAGCATTAAACTCTTTTATCGCAAATGATTTAAATGTTGATGTATTTTCTCCGAAAAATTATTCTTGCAAATATCGACTTTGAGAAAAAATTACGTTGTTTTCTCACAATCAGTCATGTTATCAATCGCTAAATATGAAGTAGAAAATAAAGATAAAACTTGAAAACAATAAGAGGCAGCAAATGACTTTGAAACTTCACGAGCAAAATCTCACGAGCTATGAAAATTAATATTGAGTGTTGAATAAGCTTCCCATCTTAGATTTCTCCTTGTTCAGTGTTAAATAGATTTCTCTAACACGAGCAGTCCATTTAATCCTCTCGTGCTTTTGTGCCTGTAGATGTGGTTGAGTTACATTCAAGACAGCTTCGGCTTATAATATCACGATTTATGGACGAAGGAAGGGCTCTCGTCATCGATAAACGTGCGATGAATAAGCGATGACGCAAGCACGCGGCTGATGTTTCTCTGCGTCTTTGATATTTCCCGGATTCTAAGCAAAAGATGTAACGCTTTGTAGGTATCAATCGTGAGCGGGTCTGATCCTCTGAATATATATATCTGTCCACTATATCGCAGCGGTCGAAGCACCGATTCCGCCGTCACGATCGTTCGCCGCGAAGGTCAGTCGTGATTCGCGAAGTGGGCGCATCCCCTGCCTTGTATTCTCACGGATCCCAACTTGAATCCTGCTATTCATAAATTTCGAACAGACACGATGTAGACGTGGAAGTGACGCGCGTCAATTACGATGACGTCGATTGCACAGTCTTAGATATTGATACCCAGACAATATTCGGATTCTTGTGTGTACGCAACACCGAATAACGTCAATCAAAAGGATGAATCTCAGCGACCTTGATTGAGGAACTTCTCATTCTTGTACAGGAAATTGCGCAAGTGCCGGTTGGAATCAGAAAGTAGTTTAAAAAATTTCTCATTAGAGAATAGCGCAAAATACGCAAAGGATGTTTACACTGTAAGCTTAATAGAACGCATATAAAAGCAGTTAACTTAATGTACAACTACTAAAGATGGTTGTTAACTATTTGCGCAAACTATGAAGCAATAACATCTTCTAAAGTTGTGTAACGCAAAATAAGTATAGGGATGTTATTGAAATATTCTTGATTATCGTTATAAAAATATTATTATCTCGCTCGTAATTATTGTGTTAATTAAGATGGAAAGACATTTTATTGACAAAAATCCATTTTTATTGGTCTCATTAATATTTTATATCGATAATAAATATCGATTACTGATATTTTTATATCAATAATTAATATTGATTATCGATATTTTTATACTAGAATTAATTTTACAGAAAATAAGAATTTGTAGGAAAGTAGAAATACTATCTCTCTATTTTACAGATTTTTAAAATGTTTATCTTCCGTGTGACTTTATCTCCCATTAGTTCACAAATTATCACACACTTTAATTATCAATATTCTTCCTTGGTTATTACAAAGGATTTCAATCAGCAGTCAATTATTACTTCAGATAATAATCCTGCAAATATTTTCGTAATCATCTGTACAATATATAAAGGAATTATAAAGAATAGAGTGCACGAAGATGACAAGGACGACTTTTCTTTCATTCTGAACGATCCGTCACTGATGTAACGCAATTGTTTAAGAAAGAAACGATTGCTAACAATTTAGACCGTTCGCTTTATTTGCCCTGATTTTGATGAAGCTTAATGACAACTCGGACATTTTAATACATTTACCATCTCGAAGTTATCTCACGATTGTGGCGTAATTTTAATTTTTTTCGGAATTAATGTGATTGATTTGTTGCAGTAAATCACTGCGAGATTGTGTAACATCTACCAAAGATCATTACCCTTTTTTTTTAATAACGAAGATTACTTATTGATGAGACAAAATGACTTAACCGTTTCTTCTCACTTGGGAGCTCTGGCGGATCGTGAGACAATTGTCGATGTTATACATAATATAATAAGAGCATTCCGGGCATGTTTTATGAGGGAACCAAGTGTAGCGCGGAAAGTGCAATTGAAGTCTCGCGCGCGCGTGAGAACAAATTTGATGTAATTATCACAAAGGCATTGTGTCTCGCAAGAGTGTGATATAGAAATTCCGTGCTAACCGTACTTATAGATTTCTTTTTCTCTCATTTCCTGTATCGCAAAATAAACGTTGCAACATACTTCAAGTGATATTTTAAATTATTTAGTATCGATATGTTAGAAATAAATATTGGAAATAATGAAATTATTTTTATTTTAATATATTTTAAAATTATCTTTTTATTTTGAAGTCAAATACTTATTGTATCGTTAAAAACTATATAAATATATTATTATTATATGTGTTTTATTCGCTCAAAAGTCAAGTAAAAAATTATAATTAATTCATACTTTCATACATTCGCCATAATGTGTGATATCTTATTCGTCATAGCGGCGGGTGACGAATGCATTGGACGCTGCCATGAATTATAATAATTGTAATGAATTTTTTATTCCGTGACATTAAAACTGTTTATTATAATTGTTACGGATTTTATAGAATTCTTAAAATATTCATAAAATGGATGAGCTCTGATACAATCTCATCGCTAGACTTCATTAACGATTAGTTCTAGAGGAATGGAAGATTTTGCAATGCGTGTATGATTATCGCAATCGTATTAAATCGCTGATGGATCTCACAGAAGAGACGCTAATACGATTATAGTTGAAGCCTTTCTATACTAGATGCTGGAATCATTGATGGATATCGCAAGCGTCACCGAAACTGTCTTACGAAAGTGAAGATAATGTTTTCTATAAATTTGAATTTTTTTTTTTAAATTTGTTTTGCAACGCATGTGATGTTACATTTTTTAAAACGTATTTTGAAAACTCAATTAAAGCAACTCTTGCATAACGGTTTTTTATTATGTAGGATGTCACAATTATTGAAAACGAGATTATTGCTAAATAACCAGTTATGTGGATATCAATTAATTTATAAATCTTTGATATGTAAGAAATCTCTGGAGTTACGAGCATTCAGTGTAATATTCGATGCAACTAAACTGGTTTCCGCGGTGCAGACAAGAAGTCGGGGGGAAGAAGAGACAGAGCGAGGATATTCGCCTTAGGGGCCCACATCTAAGACCCTCGAGGTTTTGTAAACTAAGATTCCGTCTGTCTGTTAGTTAGCAAATAGCTATATCGATGCCGTTCTTGCCTCAGAACTACGGCCGATTCTGATTGCTGACTCTTTGTCAACACGTACAATCGCGAATGTAGACGAGGAGATTAGAAGAAATCGGATCGTGTGTAGTAGAGTATTAAGTAAAGAGAATCGCGCGAAGCGAAACGCGCGAAGCGTTGTCGATACTGACGCCCGCTTTTGTCAAGTTACGCGCCGACTGTTTTTATGCCGCCCACGCGATGCAGTAACTCGCACTTTGCGGTGAAAGCCCCGAGTGAGTAGTACGCGCGAAGACGAGTCTTGTCAGTGCATAGGTACGTCCGATGATAATTACGCGATGATGCAGGCTGATTAGGAATCTGAAACGGGGCGAGCGAAGATGCGCCCGTCCTTTGACGCTGCGTCATCGCAGAGAGGTCGTATGGAAAATTAGTCGATTGTGAATAAATCTTCTGAAAACGCATCAAAGAGATGATTGATCAAACAGATCATTGACCCAAGAAATTGTTTTGAAATCAAGTTAGTCGGAAATAATTATACTCGGATCAAGAAATTAGTAATGAAATTGTTTGAGCGAAAATTAATAAACAAAATATTGATTACAATTATCAATTATTATTATTAATAATATTATTTTTGGAAATTGAAAGACAGCTGCTTTAAATTGTCACGCATTTTTAACGAATGTCTAATAATCTAATAAGCAATACTTAAATTTACTTACTTATTTATTTACTTTTATTATGTGATGAGAAAATTTAGCGTGTTTTGTATCTCAGAATTCTCTTGTGTGCTTCATTAATTTTGACTTGCCTTCCTCTATCGGGATATGATAAAATCGATACGATATCTTTTATTGCTCTTCTAATGATTCCGGATAGCCCCTCGGCAAGTCGAATAGAAAACAACGCGAAAGACGTTTGCGCAGCAATAGCATTTACGATCTATTCTTTATCGGAGAGTATCATTCTCTACAGTTTTTCCGATACCATGCATTATTTATGTGGAGAATCGCATCTCTTTGATCAGAGGCAAAAGTTCAGAGGTAGAAACAATCGTATATATAGTTTTACAGTCACAATTGCTCTCGGAGTCACTTTCTTTGCAAGATAAAATCAAAATCTTGAAAAGTAAGATTGTACAGAGAGAAAATAGAAATTCATATATCTTTTCTCATTCACTTTAGTTCATATTTAATGAAAAACATATTGAAATAATATTGCCACAAATTTACATAAAAATAGAAAATAATATTTTTATCATCAATTTCTCTTGCTTATTTTATTCATTTACATTTACCGATTAAAGAAAATATCAATCGAGCTCCAAAATTAGCAACGTGTTTTTTTTTTTAATCTGAAAACAAACAGATCAGCGTAGAGAGACATCCTCGCGATTCTCTCGATCTTCCTTCTTCACAGACGATCTTCACTGCCGGCTAGAGCAGCGTGAAATACACGGCACTCCGGTAGACGTTACTCTACTTGCAGTATTTCACTTTCACTAACCCCGGCCTCCCACGAGCTGCTCATCTCCGCGAGATCCCCCATCGGGGCCCTCCTCTGAAAGAGCCCCCTTCGTCCCCGCGGCGGGTCACTTACGTCGTGAGGTCGTTCCACGGATGGCGCACCGTTTATGGATAGTGATGGGCCCGCGCGCTAGATCCGTCCCCGCTATTTCGGACCCAGGTTGTCGATATTTACTTTAGTAATTACCAGGGGATCGAAGAGGTCATCCGGCTCATTTGGCACTCTTATTTTCACACACTCGCGCTTTGACGCGCTTGCGCACAAATACGTGTGTGTAAAGTATATAATATACTGTATATTGATAAATACTCCACCTTTGAGTGCGACACATAATAATAATTGTAAATTGTTATTAGAATGTCATGTGTGCATGAGTTGTAAAAAGTGAAATGTTTTATTTATTCTTCTAATAAAAAAAATTATTCCTCGGATCTGTATCGTGCCGATGTTCGTAAAATAACCGTTATTAGCACATAAAAATGATCGAAATTACAACACACGGCATTTCTCTGAAAATTTGACGGACGAAAGGTCAGTGCGCGGATGCAGTGTCCTCGTCTCTCGTACGATTTCCCGAAGTGCGGACGCCCCGCGCGAAAGGATCAATCCCATCGCTATCCGCGGTTTCGCGTTGTTTCCCCACCTTGCATCCCGAGGAACAGCGGAAAAAAGGGGGCTCGATCTGGAGGAGGTCGAAGGATGAGCGCATCCCTGGTGGGGGCGTATCAGCACTCGGGGTGCTATCCAAGGATATATATGCCGACGAAGTTTCTTCCACCATCAGTCACTGTCTTGACTTTACCTCAGCACTGCGGTGTGTTTTGTACGGTGCGGCTCGGTTGGGTGAGTCCACGACACCACTTCATCCCCCTTTAGACACCAGCGGGCTCTTGCCCGCTGCTCGACTCTGCGAGTTCTTGCGTTCCACCGTACAAATTGGGCCCCTTTTTCCGGATCCGATCAGTGTTCGCCCCAAAGAATCGACGATTCGCTATTACATTTTCCCTTTCATGCGTATGTGCGCGTATCTCAGCGTGGCACCGATAACATGCACGAATGATTCGACGAAAGTTCCGAACCTCCTCCGTGCGCAACGCTCGGAGGGTCGGACGAGGAACGATCGCAGTGTGTTAAAGTAACACGGTCAGTGAATTCCATTCGCGCGTATCTCGCAGTTCCATTTTTCCTTATCTCGCAAACATGTTTTATTCATCAACTCCTGAGGATCGTGTAGAGAAATAGACGACGTGAATTACAGTAGCGGAATACACGTATAATTAACCGATAATCGATATAGGTGCATAAATTCATAGGAAGTAGAATTTAGCAAAATTCTTGCCTTTCGATACTGTAATGCTATGACACTGCTCTTGATAGTATTTTTATATCACTAAATTTGTATCGAAAGATCCAGAAATTTTTAGAAGCATACAAAATTTTTTACAGAACAGTATATATCTATTGATTCTGTATGTTACAATGCAATATTTCTAAATCTTTATTTTTGAGTTTTGCTTTCTAAACTTAGCATCTGCTCAATTTTTATTCAAAAATCAACGAACAAATGTACTATATAAATTAGATTTTATCGTATTTATTTCACTTTTTATAAATAATAAACTAAAAAGTACTATATTATATTGCAATATTTAAAGACATTTTTGACAAAAAAAAACTCTACCGTACGTAAACAACATATAGTTTTAAACATCACAAATTGTTACAGACTTGAATTTAACGCTTATCTTTTAAAATATTTTTATATAATTATACAAAGAATAAATTATGAATAATTGCATTTTTTTTTTTTTAGACTCGCTCCTTGAGGGTGCTTGCGCCAGCAAACATGCGGCTACACTTGCTATGGATCGGTAAGTCCAAACAGATATTGATTGAAATATTGAGGTTCACCTTATCACTCTTGGCTTCATCTCACATAATCATTCATTGTCAGTGCAGTAATCGAATTGTTACGCCAGTATGTCATTGAATAAGCACATTGAAGTGCTAACAAAAAGCGGTGTAAGAAATCACGCGGCAATGTCTGTCGGTTTTCCTTCGGAGAAAACAGAAAGATTAGCAGAGATTGCAGTGTCGAGGATAGAGAAAAGAAAGTTCGCAATTTGTGACGTGTCCCAACGTCAAGTATAACCTTCGTCTCGATAATCGAAGGAGATGAAAAGTTTCCAAGCAATTGTTAAGCAATCTTACGCGCCAACTTTGCCTTCCGTTCATCGAATTATCGTGCCGTATAAGTTCTCGTACATGCTATTATGGGACACGCAATCAGTGTGGTATTCTTTGACAATGCTTGAATCCTGTACGCATACTAACTATAAATCATCAAGAAAAATAAAGAGAAGAAAAGAGAAAGAAACTGCACGAACGGTGATCACAGTCGCGAACGTGATGATATGAAAATTTTCATCCGAATATGTTATAAGTAATCTTAGGAACTGATAACAAATAAAGATGAATCTGCATCTTTCATTTTCAGGAATTTATTTCTTATCTCGTATAAATTTTTAAAATATTATTTAATTGTATTTAAAAAATTGTACTTTAAACTTTATAAAAATAATAATATATTATAATTTATGCACTATTAACTTAATTATGACTGACATAAAAATTTCTGCCAATCAAATGAGTTTCGGCATAGTCTTATTTTTTCAAATAATTGTTTTAAGAAACATGTAATAAAATTAAACACAAGTATTTAGTAGGACAACATAATTCATAATTCAAATAGCGCTTTCAACATCTCTGTTTTGGTCGTAATATTACGCGACTTATTGTTAGATGAGTTTTAAATGTCGACGGAATTTTCGCGCAAGGTCTACGACATTTTTTCGTAACATCCTCTAATTAAAACGAATTAGAGATAAGCCAGTGCGCAGCCGACTGGTATTGTTTCGGCGCACTTTTACATATTACGGGGTCACCCTTTACGCTTACGATCATCCGCATTTAAAATAAAGGTCAAGTGTATGCAGCGTGCCGTGTTAGCGCAATTGCTATCACCTTCCTTTTTCTCATGAATCTTAAAAACGGACAGACACTGTTAAAGATCGCAGATGCATGAGGAAGGCAAACATTTGGAAAAATAATAGGAGAAATTAATTCCAAAATCAATCAAACTTTTCCAATTTTAAAGTCAAATCGTGAATATTGTAATCGAGAACTTTGTTCATTATAGACGGATCATAATAACTTACAGAAATCTTTTGAAAGAAAATAATTAAAATAAAGATTTTGAAACGTATCCAATAAAATACGAAGAAATTCATGGTCCAAAGAAATAACCGAAAAAGAAGGGTTTCCGCCGCGGCTTCCCTTCGGATAAGTTACGTCAATACTGCGAGGCGATCGTGCAACGCTAGTGTAGCCACGTAACGGTCAAAGATTCTCTCGAACGATGCATCGAGTATCGTGCTCGGATTATCTTCTTAGATCACGCGAGGTTCGGCCGCATCTTGATCTCCGTTCCATTGTTTCGAGGTAACCAAAACCGAGGCTATCAACCGGCAACAGGAAGATGTACGGATAATGGTACGGCAATATTGTTGCCTGAAATAGCCTTTTGGTCAAATTATGCGTGATGTGGAAGTTAATGACTAATAAAGATGAAGGGATAGAATATATCTGGAAGATTACTTATAATATATCTAAGATGTGGAAAAAGTTCTCATACTCGCAGCAGTTACAACCATTCACAAAGTTTCTTCTCTCTTCCGTGATTTAATTATGTGATTCGTAGAAACTGGATATCAATAAAGAGAAACTATTTCCGCAAAAATTATTTTAGACATTAAATAACTTTTCAATTATTTTTTTATTGCAAGAAACGTCTGCTTGTGTATAGTTCATTCGTCTTACAATAATTACAATAATTATGTCACATCATATACTTTATTAATCTTGTTATTATATTATTTAATGCTTAAACATAAATAATTAATTTCAAATTTAGCATCTTAAATTATTTGGAATGACTTACTGAGAAAACAAAAATTGTTTGGCAAGATACGTGATGACTACTTAAATCATTTATGAGCCACTGTGCAATAGTATTTTTTGAGCCATGGAAGTTATGTCAATCGTATTTGCTAAGTTGCACCCATTAGTCTACGTCGAAGTAAAGTCACCATTAAATCTTAATTTATCAACGTCAAGTCAGCCTGAGGGATATTGATACTCGTTTGATAATAACGGTTATTCATCACGAATGATATTCATCGCGATAACAAGAAGAGTCAATCAAGCTTTTCATAATTTATTTTGTTACTTCCTTATATATTATATCGAAATTACTTCGATAGTTACATCTTTGTCATTGTGTTGCGAGAAATATTTTAATAAAAAAAACACATCTTATTTTATGATTTGTAAACAAAAAAATTTTCTTGAAACTTAAAAAGCAAAAAACAGATACATCTTTCTTTCTGAACATGTTTTTAATGAATTATTTTGAATATTATTTTGCTAAAATTTCATAGAATTTGAGGTTGTAATTTGTATCTTTTGCTCAGGAACCAAGTCTCTATGTCTGCTTAATAGTAGCTTGCATGCAAGTAACTTGCATGACTCGCGAAGCGGCATGACAGTGTCATTGCGAAAACGTACACGGGAGTCTTTACAATTCCCGTGTAACACTATACGCACTTCTGAAGTCGTGCTACTTGCCTCTCTCCCGCACACGCGATATCTTCCTGCGCTTGTCCCTCTTCATTTACGCTTTTTGATGTGATTTACCTACGACCAAGCGTGCGAAGAACCAGCTTCTCCGCGCCTACACTCTAAGCGCACTCGACAATGCTCCTTAATTAATTAGACGGGAAGTTATGTCAGAGATTTTTCAAGACACATTTCTCTTCTGTGAGACTCGCACGCAACCTCTCGTCATCGCGACTATTGCGACCGTTACTGAGGTGATGTTGGCACCATTAAAGCTTTTAGTACTGGAAATAATCGATGTCATAATAAAAATTCTTCCTGCGATGTAATTGTAACAAGCTATTGTAATAAATGAAGAGCGCACAATCAAGGTAGGTGTCTCACAATAATGTTATCTTGTTTATATTTGTTTCAGTCTTGCTGGCTGTCGCTCGCACAGCTCTGGTAAGTAGCGCTTTTACATTGATTACATCGTTAAGAGCAATTTAAAATAGAAATATTTTTCTACATAACTATTTGCAATTTATTTAGTCTATGAATATTTCACGGACAATTTTCTTCCTACTTCATAAATGTCTTTCTTTATGTCTTTATTTTCACAAAAGCGGTGCATTAACCGGTGTATAAAGTAATACAGCTGTATATATTTTTCGCGATTAACATATTTTAGTTCTTTACTAACTGACGAAATAGCATTTTTGGTTGCGCAAGTTTAAGCACTCTCATATTAATCGGTCGTGACTATACTGTTGTAATATCACAACGATTACAATGATCGAGAGTACGAAGACGCTCCTTCGGTCTTTTCCACAAGCACGATTCTAACGATGTCGGAATCCATAAATTTAATATAATTAATCGTTCAAGGGTATCGCGATCTCGGGGATTATAAAGCGTTATACGATACTGAGTATAATAAATATGTACGAAACAAAGGAATGTTGAAGAACATAAAATATTTCTTTCGTTATTTATGATATATGTATTTATATTTATATATAAATTGAAATATTATTCAACTTTATATCTTAATAAAAATAAAATTAGAAATTAATTTTGTGATGAAAAAAAATCTGTTTGATAAAAATCTAATGACAAATTAATGATTTTTTTATATGCATTCTTCAAATTTAAGTAATTTTAATTTTTAACATTGTATACAGAACTTTATAACTTTTTTGTTTTAATTTCAATTGCGCAATTAAAAATACTTAATTTTTTTTTTGTACAAAAAACAAATTTCGACGGTTTTTTGTCATTTAATTGTGGGCATTCTATACGTATCTCATAGGCTGACGAAGGATATAATTATCCCAGACCATCAAATCCGCTCATACCAGGTGGTCCTGGCGGAGGTCCTGGTACAAAACCAGGAGGAGGATTTCCAGGTACTCCCGGTGGATATCCATCGGGTCCCGCACCCGGTGGACAGCCCGGAAAACCGGGTGGCTATCCATCCGGGCCAGGGCCGTCATTTCCAGGTGAGCGCCCGGGCGGTCAACCAGGCGGGCAACAACCTGGATTTCCAGGTCAACAGCCATCAGGTGGGTATCCTAGTGGACGTCCCTCGATTCCCTTTCCGAGCGGCGAACCAACAGGCAGACCTAGTCCAGGATATCCATCCGGCGGTCCCGGTGCACCGAGTGGGCCAGGTGCGCGACCAGGAGGATTTCCATCGGGACCAGGTGCTGGGTATCCTAGCGGCCGACCTGGCGGGCAAGCACCAGGTTTTCCAAGTGGACAAGGATATCCGAGTGGTAGACCCGGCCAGCCGGAAGGCCCCGGATATCCCGGCGGACAAGCACCTGGAGGTTATCCCGGTGAAAAACCTGGTCCGGGAAGTGGATATCCTAGTGGAGGGCCAAGCACTGGCTATCCAGGAAGTTCTCCGAGACCTGGCGGTGGTCCAGGTCCTCAAGGACCAGGCGGATATCCAGGACCAGGGGGACCTCAAGGTCCTGGAGGTCAGCAAGGCCCGGGCAGAACACCTGGCGGAGGTTATCCTACTACTAGACCAGGAGCTGAAGGACCAGGGGGCTATCCAAGTGGACCAGGAGCGCAAAGGCCAGGGGGCTATCCGAGCGGCCCGAGCGGCCCAGCTCCGCAAGGACCAGGCGGTTATCCCGGCGGACCAGGACCCCCAAGGGCCAGGAGGCTACCCGGGCGGTCCGAGTCCGCAAGGACCGGGCAGCTTCCCCGGCGGTCCAGCCCCTCAAGGACCGGAAGGATTCCCGGGTGGACCAGGTCCACAGAGACCAGAAGGATTTCCAGGCGGGCCAGGTCCTGTAGGACCCGGTCAAGGAGCTCACGGTGACACCGGAGAGTATTCACATGGCGATGAAGGAACGTACGACGAAGGCGATTACTCGGCTATTCCAGGAGAACCTGGTCGCGATTATCCTATATACAGTGAAATTCCGGAGACCGGTTTCCGTTGCGACGCCCAACAATTCCCTGGTTACTACGCCGACGTGGAAGCTCAGTGCCAAGTTTTTCACATATGTGCCAACAATAAGACCTACGATTTTCTTTGCCCTAATGGAACGATCTTCAATCAACAATTCTTTGTCTGTGTATGGTGGAATCAGTTCGACTGCAACTCTGCGCCAAGCTTGTACTATTTGAATGAAAATATTTATGATTATACTATAATGGGAGCACCAGGGCCTCAAGCAGGACCCGGCACTCAAGGACCTTTGGGACCATCTGGACCAGGAGGATATCCGGGAGGACCTCAAGGTCCTTCAGGACCAGGAGGACCTCAAGGTCCGTCGGGACCAGGAGGATATCCAGGAGGACCTCAAGGTCCATCGGGACCGGGAGGACCTCAAGGCCCATCTGGACCAGGAGGATATCCGGGAGGACCTCAAGGTCCATCGGGACCAGGAGGATATCCGGGAGGACCTCAAGGACCATCCGGACCAGGAGGATATCCAGGAGGACCTCAAGGGCCATCCGGTCCAGGCGGTTATCCAAGAGGACCTCAAGGACCATCCGGACCAGGCGGTTATCCAGAAGGACCTCAAGGACCATCCGGACCAAGCTATCCAAGCGGACCTCAAGAACCAACGGGCCCAGGCGGTTTTCCAGGACGACCAGGTCCATCCGGCCGACCAGGACCCGGATATTTAACTCCGCCGTTAGGACCGTCAGGACCATCAGGACCTCAAGGACCTCAAGGACCTCAAGGACCTCAAGGACCAAGCGGACCTGGATACCCCGGAAGACCTCAGGGACCTTCTGGACCATCGACGAGACCGCAAGGACCTAGCGGTCCCGGCGGTTATCCGGGACCAGGCGGACCATCTCCAGGATATCCGGGAAGCCAACCGCAAGGACCGACTGCACCAGGTTATCCGAGTCCGGGCGCACCGGGAGGTCGTCCGCAAGGACCTAGTGGACCAGGTGGATACCCCAGAGGCCGACCAAGCGGCCCGTCATTCCCCAGTGGACCGGAAGGTATCCCGGAACAACCCGGAACAGGTTTGCCGTTCCCGCCACAAGGTCCTGCGAAACCAGATCGTGAGTACTTGCCGCCGCGGGCTGGATAATCGTGAAGCTAAATGCTCCAGCCGGTATCTAACGACGACTCCCACCGTTGTTAATGCTGGATGATACGTGTAAATACGAGCTCTTTTATTTGCGTAATCTAGGTAATATCGATTATTTGTATTGCAATCATTTTTACATATAAGAAATTCGATTATTCTGCTTACGCGTTTATTCATCCTGAGGTTTCCACGCGTGTAACTGAAATTTACATCACCGCCAAGTGTTTGTTCTTAGCTAATTTCACTAGTAAAATATATTTATATGTAAAGCATATTAATATATTACATAAAAACATAATATAAATGATATTTAATATATATAATATATTAATATATTTTATAATTTGCTTTTATACTAGTAAAATATAAAAGAGATTATTTTATCAAATTATAAAGTTGTGCATTAAATTTTTCTTAACTTGTCTCTTTCGGATTTTTTGCAGTTATTATATTATTAGCATAGAAAACATTATAAAAAGGTAATAGGATCGCGTATTTTTATCAAATGTTAAATATAATATATTTTAATACAATTTCTCTTTCAGATTTAAAGCTGCATGTTGTTAATATATTAAAAATAAACGGAAAACGATTTTTTTTTATATATATATATATATATAAATCTTTATATTACATTGCATCGCGAACAAGTACTTATCGGAAACCTTATGATGAACTTACGAGTAATTAATATTAAGACATATACGCTAAATGTATTCATTGTCGTCCCATGAAATCTTATTCTTTAATTATGACTTAACAAGAAATATTAAAATATTACGATAAATCGATAAATACGTCTTATCGATTCTTATCGATCATTATATAAATATTTTAATTGCATTACTAAACAAATGTTCGATTATAATTCAATTTATACAGAAAACAGAAATAGCTATCGTATTATTATTAACCCTTTGCGATCTTGTGTTGATGTAGACTCAATATAGTATGCTTTACGATAATTTTGCGCATAGCTTTCCTAGTAGTTGAAATAATGACCACAATTATTACAAGTATGACTACAATTAACAAATCGTATTTTCCTAAAATTTTTCATAAAATTTTCTGGATTAACAAGGATTAATTGTTACTTTTATCTGATTCTAATAGCATTAAAACAATATTAGCTTATTTATCAAAATTAATTAAGACCAAAAGATTAATAAGTAATATTGATACTATTGATTGTCAGTTTAATCAGAAATATTAGTATTACAAATATTACTGCAATTGATTTTATCGATTTAACGACAGCGAATACATGTAGCTTGTAAGTATTAAAACCCGATCGTATTTATTTATTCAGCTTTAATAAAAATATAATGTTACTATTTACAATATTACTATCAAAAGAGATCATGAATCGGATGTCATGCGGATGTCGATTTTTCGATGATTCGAAATGAGAATTTATGAATTGAAAATATAATCAAAAATGTGTGAAAATAATAATCAAATACATATGATCTTATATTCTAAGACAATTCTATCTTACGAAGTGTCATAATAATACAATTTTAACGCAGTTATTTATCGTAATATTTAACAAACGCAAAATTATTGATTATCAAGCGTATATAACTTTAACAATTTGTACGATGTATCTTATTAGTATAATTCGAGCTACGAATTTATATTTGTAGGGTTGCGATAAGCAGCATCTTTCTTAGTGAATAATTTATAAGCGAATTATAAAAATGTATTATTCACAAGAATGTTAAAAATTCAGCGTTTTAGGCACATCTTTAAGGTGAAAATAGTGCACAATTATTATTTCATGATAAAATATTTATTTGTCTATTAAAAGCTATACATTATTTTAATTAATTACCACGTGATCCATGAACAACAAAGCAGTGAGAGTCCGATCTTTTCTTTTGAAGAGCGTATCATTGTCATATATAGTTAAGCAACGCATGACAATTATATATACATATACCTATATTTTTATAACAATGGTTTGAGACTCCTACGTGGGATGCCATTATGTATATTTTATGCGCGAAATAAAGGAAACACCTTTGCAAGAATTATGTTGTCTCTATTCACTATAAGTCCCGGCGGGTTACTGAAACCCCGAGCGAGACGGGTAACAACACACACGCGTTACTACATATTGCCTTTCCCTTTCCCCTCATTACTATAATTAGTCATTTCAAATTGTTCGCGCCAGGGGAGGTTACATAAATTCGTATGCGCGGCCTACGTGCGATCATCGTTTCGCGATTTATAGTTGCGTGCATTTCGCAACGCGCCAGCTCTTGTCTTGTGTCGACGACGAGACGAGACGAGTCATTCGACGGGCAAATGATTTTGCGGATTCCCATGGCAGTGACGTTACATTGGATAAACGTTGCGAGAATCCCGCTGCGGTTCATTCACGCGTCTTAAATTGTCTGACATAGGCAACTAGGTCGTACGAAATGCCTCATCCTGCTTTTCACATCGCTCTCGTCGGATTGTTTCGGTTGCGATACGACAAGATATGCCGTCATGCTTGCCGAGAAAAGGAAAATGACACTTAATCATCCGGCGGGTATCAGGTGCAATAGAAATAGATGCGCGTGAAACGTGATGGTATGTATTGGAATATACTATCGAAATAGTACAGCCAACCGGTTAGTGTTATCGCGCAGATAATCAGGTGCTTACTGCTGCAGTTTGTAATGAAGGGAATTATACGCGAAGCCAGTTAAACTTTGGTCTGGAAAAGCATGGCTCCGAGTAAGATAACAAAGGTCAATGGCTAATTAACAACGTTTGTAAATTAAGGACGTAATTTGTATGCATTGCCGTATTTCCAACATATTGCATATTACACACGGTAATTGTTCCGAACGATTTAATAACGAAAATTTAAAATAAAAAATTGAACGATGAATTCCATAAGCCATTCACTTCACTGCTATTGATATAACATATTTTTTATAATTTTTAAATTAGCTTTTATTCCTGAAATTTCCGTTACAATTTATTTAATATTAATCATTTTATTTTTTAGTTATAAGTACATCAATTTTAATGTTAAAAATTTTATAATTATTAATATTAAACAGCATAACTATGCTTTCCATTTAATGCTCGCTGAACAAGATATATATTGCGGCTTTACATTTATCAAAAAATCTGTCTTGGAAATATATTTCCTCGTGACGGCGACACGTGCCGAAAATAAATCTTCTTCCTGTTGCATTAAGAGATAATCAAAAGGCTGCGAGATAAAAGCGCGATGCAAATTGAAAATGTATAACGTAATACATTATGATTCACTTCATGAATATATAATGGATGAATCCGGCACGAAACGCGAATTCTGTTTCGTCAGCGTACCACGACGAAGGTCCCGTGAATATATGTACCCGCGGATGGTCTCGCTTGCGCTTATTTGGTGCAACAAGCGCAAGGCGATGGTCGTGTGAAAAATGTAGAAACTAATGAGAAGGCGCCGCGCGCGCACCGCCTGGAAATTACCGGCCTGTGACGCAAGCCAACCTTGGATGGCACGCGGACCATCTTGCTCGAAAAGTAGACCATTAGAGCGGATGATAGTGACGGATCACCTGTTAACAGATCTGACTTACAACTCGACCTTTTGCAGCTGGTACCGATTCCACGACAGTCACGTAGTCGTTGACTATTTTCGTTACGAGAAAGTATAGACATAGACGTATACCGTCTCTACTGGGACTCGTTTTTCTCTTATCCACTATTACCTTATGTATAGTTAATTGGCGTGCGTAATTGAGCTCACTCATGCATAATGGGAATAACTAATGTATCAGTCAAGCGAAGAAAATCCTGTTCAGTGATGATTGTATCAAGCAGAGGTGCACCGGGCTTTTAGATGCGATTTGTAAAATACTTTTTACAAGATAACAATTTGTTACTTAACATCGTACAAATTAATCATCCAACAATCACTGAAGAAAAAATAAAGGTTAAATAAATTATTCTTGTAAAAGTGAAGCTTTATAATTATAATCGCATATGTTGGAATAACTTTTGAAGTAATAACAGTAATCGATACGGCGTGAATAATAAAGCGAAAACTAAACGCTCTATTTTTTTTTTTTTCAGAAAAATACAAGAAGATCGATGTGCAAGTTTTTTTCAGCTTAAGATGGAGAGTATCAGCGTGTAATCACAGTGTATAACGCCTGGTAAATTTAATGGTAAATTGAACTATTAGGAATTAATATCCCTTGCGCAATGGACGCGCGTACACTCAAAACGTAATCTTTTTTGTAATTTGCTGCCTCGAGTGATGCGCGTGTACCTTACAGGGTATCGCTCGATGGGCACGCCGACGGAGATGCAGCGATGACGAAATTTGTCAGCTCTTCAACTACCGACTGCATTATTGCATCTCCGTGATACGATATGGACGATGAAATCCGCTGTCACGGGAAATAGGACGAAAAACGACGGGCAGCAGATGGCGCAGCCAATATTGCAAGGCGATTTATGCAATTTCTGTAGATTGTAAATTGCAAATGACCAAGTGTTACGGGAATGTTCGGTTAAGGCAATACGTTCGCCTTTGTAAATTTTACGAATCGCGGACTAAACGGCGCTCGCCTTATGGTATCGGCTAGAATCGACATACTTCGAGCTTTTGAATTTACATGATAAATTAAAGTGCACGCCGCAAAATATCGCGCGTCGTTGCGCAAAGCTGTCCAGTCATCACGCATAATGGCAGAATAAATTATTTGCTTTTCAATTACAGATTCTTTGACAAACTCGGAGCTGCTGTTTTTAATTAAAAATTCTCGCTTATACATTATTGAATAATTCAGTTTTATTAAAAAATCACTTTCTTCGCGATCGACAAAAGTCAATACGCTGTGCAAATGACTCGTCGTAGCATTAATGAATGTAAATAGTCAAACCGCAATTATAATAGAACAATTGCGCTGCGTCTCAGCTGCGAAGCAGAAGCTTTGGGTGGGCGGCGATATCACGATGAAGCGCGATCGGAAAGGCCAAACGGGTTTCAATCGGTGCGTGCAACGCCAAACGTCGCGCGATGCAAGGCACCGCGCAACCGGTTCGTGGGGTCAGTAATCGTCATTGTCAGGGCC